GTTATCTGTAATTTTGAACAAATATTTAATCCTTTCTGTCCCTGCCACTTTTCCACTGGTTTTCAACTGCTTTCCCCATTGCGCTTAAGATATATATTTACGTTTGAATCACAGATCTAAAACCATATTGGGGAGGGGCAGAAAAAAGGTTCCTTCCTTTTTCTGCAGAGGAGGTGGCACTTGGTGGTGCTGACTTCTGGAAGTGTTAAAAACGCTTTGAAATTTTTTAAAAAAGCAGATTAATTACTAATTTCTACAGCTACTGATTATATTCTGCAACAGAGGAAAGAAGACAACGAATTTTAGCCATGCAGTTCAAGCAAGCAGCATGGTAGGTATTCTTATTAGAACGTTACAGCTGTTGGCTAGATCTGGGTGTTACTGCATTCCATTTTCAGTGTGATAGTATTATTTCTAAAAGGTATTATTTGGATCTCAAGTGTCAATTTATGTATAAAAGCAACCTCTAGCATGTATTAGCTGAAGTCAGTTCTATAATATAAGCGTATTATAATATAATATAACCCCCTTCCCAAATCTGACATATGCTCACACACCTTCTCTCCCAACCTGTTATATCTGTCCTGTGAGTCCCTGCGGTATACTAAAAAATTTTTGTGATAAAGTGCTAGCCTCACTAAAAAAATTCTTTGCCTTCATCCCCTTCTTGTCTAGAGCTTTATGAAGTTTTATATTTACAACACAGGATGTGAAGTACAAAGACCTATGCCAAATAAACAATTACTATCATGAATAATTAAAGATTTAGACCAGATTCATGTCTCTGTATGTATGTATGCGTGTGTACATTTGGATTACAGTACCAAATCTGGGTTGCAAAAATCCAGAGGACAGCAAAGAAATACTGAAAACTCTAACTCTTTGCTGTCAACTATTGGCCATCTGGATTCTTGCAGTTCAGATCTGGTAGCTAGAGTGTCTGTGTATGTAGGAGGAATTTATACACACACACACATGCAGACACAATTTTCCCTAAATATTTCATTTATATTCAAATTTCCTATCACCGTTTACAGCAAGCAAGCAATACAATAACGTTATTGTCACTCTGTGGAAAAGAGCTTGTTTTGCTTTGATACTTATATTCTGTTGCCCTTACAAAATAAAAATGCTGAACAACAAGATTTCACCAGCAGCTTCTTATCACATGCTAAACATTTACCTATAGTCTTCTGAGACTTATTGTAAGAGAACCACATCTGTTTCTGTGTTCCAATACCATTAAACATCATTAAGTTCTTCTATTATTTTAAGCAAACACAACACGTAACTGATGCTGTCGGCTTCACAGACGTTCATTAATGGTTTCAAACTTAAACTTAGCCAATGCCTTCTTAAAAGCAGAATTCCTCTAACCACCAACCCTTCCTACATGTAAATAACTCAAACAGAAAAAAAGAATGTCATATCCAGTTCATGTTTTATTTTCACTCATCACTAAATGCTGCAAACAAGCTATGGAAAAGAAGTAGAAAACATCAGTTGATGCTTTAATACATACCTGGAAACCCCCCTTGCACCATTGCTGCATCAGAACACAGTTCCAGGGATCTGCATTCCTCACAAACATTCAAATGCTGTGAGCAGCTCCAATCCTTACCACACAACACACAGAGAGAATCGGAGCTCGTCTTTCTTCTGACGACCTTGGGCCTGCTTGAGAGATTTCCCTCGCCTTAAGGGCAATCTGTCACTTTTCTTTCTACTATGATATGTGATTGATCACACTTAATTTCAATTCTTGCCCACGAGCAGAGTTACATCTGTCAGCAAACCTGCAAGCCCAACTAGAGAAATCCCTGGTCTCCCATCTCTGACCCAACGATGCTCTAGTGCTGCTGCTGCTGTATTGTTGTTGCATCGCTGGAAATCACTAATATTCAACTAGCATCCCTGTTCTGAAACAGAAATCAATTTAACACAACACTGCCCTTTTTCTTTATAGTGAGCAGAGCTGATTTGATTCTTAATGACCCACTCTTAATTGCAGATAAATGGTTGATAACATCCAGTCAGGCACATATTTATAGATGCATCTTTCTGGTTCTAATCATCAGTGAATACTTGCCAGTCCAGCAGAGATGGCTAAGTATTATCTTTTAGTTTTCCCATGATCAGAGCTGCAGCATGGGATTACGTTTATATCCTCAGCAAAACTGCCTGCTCTGATCCCTGAATCAGTCTAAATCCTTATCATTGCCAAGCAGATTCTAATCCACTTAATGCCCCTTAGAATATATTTAAAATTATTTTATATAGCAATTAAATAAAATCATAAGCATGCTCAGTAGAAAGTTGATAGATATGATTAGTCAATATTTACTCGCTAGGCTTAATATTCTTTCAATTCATAAAGCATCATCTTTTCCAATATGCCTGCATAGAACCACATCCACAACATCTGTTCAATGTATTAGCAGAGACAGAGCCAAAATATGACTAGTTACAGCGATTCTAAGACATTCTTACAGAAGACATTTTCAGTATTTGACTGCTGAATCAATAGGTTTAAAATCTGTGCACAGGTACATTGAAGAGAATCTGTGCATAGATACAGATCACAATAAATAGTAAGAGTCCACTATCTTTTAAGGAATAGGAAGGAAAGCTAATTTCAGAAAAAGATTTAAAAACATTAAAGGATGTGTTATACCATCCAAATTAAAAGCCAAGCTCTGTGATTGCCGTTTTGTTTGAAGGACTGAAACGCTTTCTGATACAGTAAGAAGATCCAACACCATTGTTAGTGACTACAGTGACATCTATTGGAAAGGCAGCATTTTAACATAAAATGCCAACATTGCATTCCTACTGTGATCAACCAGAAACCATGCCACCCTTCTGCTGGTATTGAAAAACTAATTTGGCTTGCATTTTTGCATTTTTCCTAAAACGACTCTGTTGTTTTCACTCTTCGAATTTTGCAATATAAATTTTCAATTAAAATTGGGCAGAAAATTAGGGAAAAAGGCAAATAGAAACATATTCATTGTTTCTGTGAATTTGACTGTTTATTCTGCAAATTGATATAGGAATTATGACAAGTAGACACGTGCCGTAAATAACATTACTTAAAGGCAGGCAGATTCGCTCCTCTCTAGTATTCCCGAGCAAGTGATATTCAGAGACATGCTGCTTCTGATACTGGAAATATTATACAATAACTATTACTAGTACCTATTGCAGTCTTATCCCGAGTAACCACTCTTCTCAATTACCCAAGGGTTCTGCAAGAGATTGCTGGAGTTCCATGAGCAATTGTGACTAAAAAAAAAAATTGTTTTTTTAACTATGCACAACCCCCCAATGCTAGCACTTGCAGGGGTGGGAAATTTTACATGCAATGACTCAGCTGCCGGCCTGCCACTTTGCTGGTGTTGTAAATGCTATAAAATGTAGATTGTGTAGGTTAAAAGTGAACTGTATTGTGAAGTTTTCATATTTTTTGAGATTTTTATGCAGGGATTCCCTAAGATCTGAAAATTATTTCAAGGATTTCTCCAGGGTAAAAAGGTTGAGAAAGGTTGCTCCTTAAGTTTATTTAGTTCCTTTAGTTTAACAAAGGACTATGTAGAAAGATGTACTTCCTCTTATTCCTCAACTCTTTTCCAGCATTCAGTTTCACTGATTCTACTATTCGGATTGAAAAAAAGTCCTTTCATTTTCACCCCATGCATAATTTATAGACCTCCATCTAGTCTTTATCCCAAGGAGACAAGGATACATTTTTGGCTTTATTTTCTCTTTCCCCAACAATCACTTCCCCCCTTTCAGTTTTATTTGTCCTAAATAAGATACATTCTCCAACAGTTTTGAAGGACGACTAGTGAGAATGGAAATGCCCTGCACTCTGAGGACTGTGAAGATCTAAGCTTGAACAGAACCATGAGAACCTAGGCTTTAAAGTCCTCAATCTCGGAAGACTAACTGTGGAACACTTAACTTCCTGCCTTGTAACCTGCTTCTTTATTGGAACATGTATGTTGACTTTGAGACTAAGCTTGGAACTTATTTCTGGCAAATGCAATAATTTGGGATTGACCTTATATTGCTCTGTGGCCTGATTCCTAAACTGCCAACTGCAACTAGAAAGAAATATTCTTCAGATCAGGATGCACTGTGAGTCAGCTATTGAAGAGACAATTTAGAGTGTTGCTAGTTTACAGTGTAAGAAGTTGGGCTCATCATATGCCTGCATTAGCTCTACGTGCAGTTCAGAGTCTATTTCAAGGTACTGATTTTGACACGGAAGGTGATCAAGAGCTTGGGGTTCAAACATTTGTTGGGATGCATCTCATGGTGTAAACAAACAAAGAAACCGTGCAAGTTCTTTGTTGAGGTGATACCCAAGGAGTAGAAATCCAAGGAAGGCCTTCTGAAATGTGGTACTGTACCTATGGAACTCCCTGTCTTGGAAGATATGTCAGAAACATTCAGCAATACAGTTGATTGCTTAATTAAGATTCAGTTCTTCACCCAAAAGACAATGTGGTTTAAGAAAACATCCGAATTTTCTATTTTGTACATCTCACTGTTTGTTCAATCTGGTTAATTTAGAGCTTAAGAGTATTAGTTTATTAACATTTGTGTTTTGTTTCCTTATTTTATCTGTAAACTGCTTTGCAACTTGTTGTGAAGAGTGGAAAATACATTAAATCAAGAAATATTTTATTTATCACATTTGTATATAATACATAAATATTATATACAATATATTTATATAATATATAAAATACAATCGTGAAAACTAAATTTTCTCCACACTTCCTGAAAAGAAGTTCTAGAATATTATGTAGTGTTAAGGAATTTTTCTCCACTGAATTCTAATAATTGTCTTTCCCTTCAGAATTCCAATATTTGGGGAAAAAATTCAGTCCTATAGATATGGTGACCACAAGCAACTCTACCCTCAGTAAGAGCACCACAGAAGAATTCTGAATATAGAAAGTCAACAGAACTAGTAATACTTCATAATTTACCCTCCGTATAAGCATTTTCTTCCTCTTCCTCCTCTTCCTCCTCTTCTTCCTCTTCTTCCTCTTCTGGATCATCCAAGCTGGACATTCTTGCTCCTTTGTAAGGTGGTGGCAACTTCATGGGTGGTGGAGCTCCACTTTTCTTCTAAAAAAAGAAAGAAATAACCTTTCATATTATGCCTAGAAATTTCAGATGTTTATGATAAGAAGCTCACTATATAAGCATAGTTTCATTATAAATGCTATTTTCAACAGAAGCTTCCAGTTTCATAGAATTTGGGCTTCTTTTGAATAAACCTCACATTTCTGTTCCACATCAGAAAAGGACTGATTTCATCTTATATTGAAACAATGATGATAGTACAGCACTTAACTGACAACATAAATGTAAAAACCCAATTTCTGCTAAGGATCTGAATGCTTCATAAAATAAATCTGCTGCTTTTGAGGCACTTTGGAAAAAAATAACAGCTATATAAAGCTCCATCAAACATTACGGACTACAGTATTTTCAATATTAGCTCTGGTTAACAAGTTATATATCATAAAACTCACAATAAAATCCCATTACCTCGCATAAATAAAGGCATTTTCGATAATGATGCATATAGTGGTGCATATCAAAAGAAGGCAGAACTGAAGGACTGCAGTAGACACAACCAAGCATCTGTTTCTCAGGCTCAAAGTAACCGAATCATTTGTGAGCTGCACTGTACGATTGAATTAGCTCAACTACGATCGCATTGCTAATGGCAAATACACTTTAGTCAACAAACAGTGAGTGCCAAATGACACGAGAGCAACACAAATGGCTTGATAAATGTTGTTTTCTTGACTCATTATCCAAGGGTTCGTATGTCGTTTTTAGAAAGATTTTTTTCTATAACAGTATAGTAAAAGCAATAAAAAAAAAAATCTGCAAATATGGGGTTGCAGTCTTATGTGAACAATCAACATCTGTTGTAAAAGATGTTGCTATTTGGATGTGGGATGGAAATAACAGGAAAAATTGCAATATGCAATAAAAAGGAAGGAGCATTCAAACTGAAAGCGGCTGCAAATCAGGATAAAATAAATTTCATCTGGTTAATACGGTAATAGCAGCAAAGTAAAGAGAATAAAAACAAGCTTCCATGACTTGGGTAGAGGGGGGGAACCAGTTTGCATTCTATTCAAATTAACACTAGATTTAGGAGTTGAAAAGCAACAGATGATGATGATGATGATGATGATTATAGATTTTTTATCCTCCTTTTATTATTTTTATAAATAACAATGGCAAACATAAATGCTAATGATAAAGGTTAAAGCCTTTATCGCTTTTCACACTGAACTCAATTCCTGTTGATTACAGTATATGAACAAATTACATAACTTGGTTTGCCATTGCCTTTGTCTGGGATGTTATTTTACTTGGGTACAGCTGCAATTTCCTTGTGGTCTCCCATCTAAGTGGTAAACAGATCTAACCCTGTTCAACTTCAGTTTAGCCAAGTTCAGCCATGTGTTGCCACTTGCTGTGGAACAGCTGCCACTGAAGACAACAAAAATTAAATTGCAATGAGTCAATCCACTGAATTTGGATGTAGCTGTTTGCTTTCACTTTTACTCTTCTTTGAATATTATTTTCGTAAGCACTATGAAGATGATAATTTTATGTTGCTTCTCTCAGAATGTGATGCTTTCTTTATATCCACTAAATCCAGTCTCCAGAGAGTCAGGAGGAAAAGTGAATTCTTTTTCTGACTCAGCTTCCTGTCCAGCAAATGTTGTCTATGTTTTGACTCAGCCATAATGAATATTTTCCCTCACCCAATGGAGATCACCAGTCAGAACATATTTTTATGTGCAACTGAAGGATATGTACCTAATCATATATTGGACGACACTTCTTATAAAGTTTTTCCTATTTGCTATTCCCCAGCTGAAGGAGATTTTAAATCCAACATATCTGGAATATGGTGGGGAGGTTACATTATATTTGTATTTGATATCATTACTTCCAGAAGTCATGTATTCCATTAGCTTTTGAACTTAACACACATTTGCACTGTTAGTATTTCAAGGATGGAACTATTCTTTAAAAAAGAAACCATTACCCATACAACTACATGTTGTTCATATTATGAATACCGAAATATTGCATAATTTAGCACTACAATCTCTGCCCAGGAGCTCATGCAGGGCAGTATTCAAGTTTTATTCATGGGGGGGGGGGGGGGGGAGACGACATCTGCTGAGTACTATCTTCACAATGAAATGGCTGTTGAAACTGGCTGCTAGAAAATGCCTCAGTGTGGTGAGGGCGTTTGCATTACTTCAGAGACATGATACAGAGAGATCTGTAGAAATCTGTAAACAGATTTCTTCAACAAACATGTAAGTAAATAATTTCTTCATGGAGCCCCCCATACAGACAGTCTCAGTAGCAAAGCTCCAGGAGTCAATGGATGAATCTGTATGTGTGCCTTGGGAATAACCTCCCTGCAAAACTGTGTAGTCAATTACTTCCAGACTTTCTTATAAGTGCTCTTGGAGTTTTAAGAAGGAAACGTTTGTGATGACAACACAATATTAAAGCAAAAAGGGACACCGTAGAGCTCAAAACTTATCTCTTCAACCTCAGGAAATGCACGTAAATATTTAAGTGCCATGTAAACAATAGATGTATGAGGATGTTGCTGCAGAAATAATCTACTTCTTTAACATGAACAGGGCAGAAGAACCAGAGAAGCTTTAAAAAAAGGAAGTTCTCTGCAAGAGGCAACAAACAAAGGTCTGAGGATAACCCTTTCCACAGACAGTAATGGCTGAGCTCCAACTTCCAGCATTTAAGAATACAAGTAGAAAATTCACAAATATGCCTGACGGGCAAAGGGAGAACCAAGAGTTAGATGCTACAATTGTAAAAATAAAGAAATATCAGAGAATTGTAAGAATATTTATCCTTGGCCCCACTAGGACATCTAGATAATCAGCTTGAAAGCAATGGATTGGAGAAGGAGGAAAGCCACTCCTTAAAAGTCAGTTGGAACTACCCAAGTGAAAATTATAGAATGGATTAAGGTACAGTCAGCAGATTTTATATAATCAAAGCTGTCTTACTATTAGAGGGGCTGAATTACTAGCAAACACTAACAATTTCAAAGAACATGATCAGAAGAGAGTTCAAAGTGAAATGGAACAAGACAAACGCTAGAAAAGGAAAACTAACAAGGAAAGAATCCAAAGCTCAGACTTATGATTAGTAAGGCTCTTGAATGGGGGATGGCCAGGTACTCCTGAGGGACCCTTCCTTGTTGCCTCTGGCTATTCAACCTGCAGCTCTTGGTATGTAGCAGGTGCTGCCAGGCTCCCTGGTTCCTCATAGGGTGACCACAGCATTCCTTCCGCAGGAGTTACAGAGGACAAGACTCTCATGTCCTCAAAGAATGGCTCTTCCAAAGGACTCAGAGGTCTTGGAGGAATGTTTCTGTAGGATTAAATATACAGAAACAAAAAAGCTCCATTTAGCTATTAATGGACTGTTCTAGTAAAATGTCTTGTATTCCCCATGCTGCTTGCAGCAATCCAGAGCTTAGAGGCAAACAGTAATGTCATCAACGTGAACATCTATGGTTGACTTCACTGAAACCTAGGCTGGAAAAATACTGCTGCTGATACGACTGCTTGGGAATGTGAAAGATAACCTACTCTCTGCTGAAGAGTAGCTGCTTTAAATAGGATACTGGTTACTAGCAATTTCAAATACGTTATTTATATTCATCCATCAATGCACAATCAGAAATGGTTTTCCAGTCATTTCAACCAAGTTTTGCCTATTCAAAGTATTTTTTAAAGAAAAGGCTTGAGAAAGGAGGGGGAAAAAACCCCCAAAATCCATATTAGAGCAGTACATTTATTAGTACAGCTCAAGATTTATAAACTAGTATGCAAGCTCTCAAGTCCCCAAGAACATCAGGCAAGTTGATTAAAAATACAGAAAAAGAGAGGGGAAAAATGAAATGCAGCTGATGTTTAAATCATGCCTGTTCCCAATTATTTATTTATTTTATTTATTTATTTAATTTGTCCCCGCCCATCTCCCCACAGTGGGGGACTCTGAGCGGCTTACAACACACTAAAAAACATAAATACCATTGAAAGTTATAAAACCAAACATTAGAAAAATAAACAACTAAAAAATCCAAGAGGCTGCTGGGGGCACAGCATACCACTAAGGGGCCAGCCAACCCCACTTCTGATATCCTCCCTCCC